TCATAAAAATTGCCCGGCAACATGACGACGTATTCAAAGTTTGAGCCGCGGCTAATATTTGAGCTCCAAAAAAGGTTTGTCGGGGACCCTTCTCGAACCCTTTCTCGGGGGCCTTCTTGGGACCCCGGAGGTCCTGGCGCGCCGCAGCGGCGACGCAGTCGCTCATCGGCAAGGCGCACTACGGCCACGATGGCGTGCAGATGATCGCGTTCCAGGTATCGCACAGACTCGCGAACGACTGCGGGCTGGGCGGGGCTCTGCGCGCTCAAGAATGCCTCCGTCAACGACTCGATCACGCTGGAAGAGACAATGGGTGTCGCGGCGACCCCGAAGAGAAGCTCGCCGACAAAGCGGTGCGACTCGGCGCGGCCCGCAAGATGCACCACTTGGACGAGACGGGCAACTGCAGCGGCGCCGTAAGGAAGCTCACGGACACAAAGTCCGCATCTGCAGTGATCTGCACCATGTCTGCGTCTGCGGGTCGTCCCCATCCGCGCCACTCCGCGTCTGCAAAAATATTGGCACGTCCGCGTCTGCGCCTCGTCTGCGTCTGCGCCGCGTCCGCGTCTGTCGAGCGTCCGCATCCTTGAAGTGTCTGTGTCCGCTCCGCATCCGCGTCCGCGTCTGCAGGGCGTCCGCATCTGTGTCGCGTCCGCACCTGTGGATGGTCTGTGTCCGCTCTGCGTCCGCGTCCGCACCGCCTCCGCGTCTGCAGAGCGTCTACATCCGTAGACTGTCCAAAGTGACCCCGGGGTCGTGCTCAGGTCGTGAAACGCAGCTGCATGCTATAGTCTCGCACCTCGTGCCTCAGGATCTCGTTGCACTCTAAGGCGACGCCCTCCTCTCGACATACAATCGTACGTCTCCTGGCCCTGGAGACCCGGAAGAATTGGAAGATAGAAACAGAGGCCTGTTCACGAGATCTTCGAATCTCTATATTTAGGAGCGACAAACTCTGCAGGCGACGAGCGCGACGTCAACCCACGCGCATGCAGCGAGAGCGACGTCGAGTCGTGGGCAGCGAAAAAAAACGTCGGGCCGCGCGCATTCAAGCGCGACGTTCGGCCGCCGGGCTGGGCTGGCAATCTGCCGCTCGAGCGCGCTGCTCGAGTGGCCCATGACGAGAGCCGGGAAGCGACCCCGTCCTACGGGTCTGCGTCCGTCGGGCATCTGCTGCGTGTCTGCGTCCATCGGGCGTCTGCGTCTGCTGCGTGTCCGCGTCCGTCGGGCGTCTGCGTCTGCAGGGCGTCTGCGTCTGTCCACACCTCTGATCCGCCCGAGCCGCGCGCCCAAAGCAGGAGGGCAGCGCCCGAGCCCCGGCGTCAAAGCCCCGTCGAGCGTCGTTGGGTCGGTGGCTGCGGATCAGGGCCCTGTGGCTGTGGATGGAATCGGGGTGACGCAGAACGTTGAATCCGACGCGTCACCTGCGACCTTCGATGGACATTACGTCGCTTCAGTCAACCTGTCGCCTCCCAGTATACGCCACCGTCAAAAGGACCGTCGAACGTTGCCTCCCGGCACTGTCCAGCCGGCTAGCCCGAGGATCGCGTCGAAGCGGAGCGTCCTGGCGCGTCCTATTGAAACCATACGACCCCGTTTGCACCTCCGAGTTGCCCGAGCAGCGTCGTTCGCCCAACGGTTATTCGAAGCGGCGGGGGAGATCAGAAGCGTGGTGGACCATCGGGCAGTCACAACTTTCAGCATCGTGCACAGAATAGCATCCTGTGTAGCTCGCGCGTGACGCCATCGAACCCGTGGCGTGGCGGTGCCGAGCTGAAAAGGTATGCCAGAAGGGTGTCTCTGACTGTCTCAGAGCGCTTGAGCTCTCCTTGCAGAGAAGTGTACTCGGGCGCCCTGGGCGACCCTTAAGAACTGCGGATTAAATTAAATGTGCAGAGAGAGAGAAACAAGAAATGCAAATCGCCGAAATCTGCCTTGCTCGAGCACATCAGCCCATGAAAGCCTAGCTTAGCTCAGTTGGCAGAGCGTTTGACTGTAGAAAACAAAAATAACCATCAAATGGTCGCTGGTTCGATTCCGGCAGCTGGGACATTTTTGCTCTTTTTATGCTAATTTTACATTTTTAGCGAGCGCACCCGTGAGAAACGTCGACCGTGCCGACAGCCGCTCCCGAACAGATTGGACATGATGCGCAGCGCCGGAATTAGGGCAGTCTTCTACGAACGATCGAAAGCAGTATGGCCTCGGGGTAATACAATTGTAGAGAAAGCAGTCCGACCGCACGAAGCCGAGTTTCCCGTGAGAAACGGAACGCACATCTCGAACAACCACCGGCCTGAGATGTCCATAAACTGGATTAACGGCGCGACAGAAAACACCGCGACCCCGATAAGGCGGCGCGCCGTTGAACTTGCGGTCAAGATATGCAGAAAACCCGACCGTCGACCGCATGAGAACCAACACATCAACTGTTCCAGCGCATCGCCCTGTAAGTAAGCCGACATCGAATCGCCACAGGCACTGCAGCCCGGCGCTGTGTGGCCAAACACGATTATTACAAGAGCGCGCCGGAGGCACACGGAGGACCCGACTTCGAGCGAAGGATACAGACAAATCCCATTGCAATGCCCACGTAAATGATTAAAATTATTTAAAATAATCGCTGAATTTTGCG